GGCGATGTCCGTGGGGGGCACGACGCGGATGCGCTCGCTGATGCGCTCGACCGCCGCGCGGACGGCCGCGTATGAGCCCTGGACCTGCGGATTTGGGGGCGGTGCGGCGGCACGGGGATCGGTGACCACGCCGAGACCGTGGGCCTGTTGCCCGCTGCGCCACACCTCAACCTGCACGCATGCATGAGCCAGGCCCCACGCGGCCGCTTTGCGACGGATGGGCCCCACCCGCAACACAACGCCCGCCTGCTTCCGAACCGCTCCCTGCTCGCCCCAGCCCTGGTCCCCGCCGCCGCCGCCGCCTCCTGCCGCGGCTGCCCCCTCCTGCCAACCTACAGCCGCCCACCTTGACCAGCTGGTCATCTGGCAGTGCAATGGGCATGCCCGCGTCGCCGGCATTGTCCTCGATCTTGACGCTCGCGCCCGTCTGGGTGCGGATCTCGTTGATGACGACCCCCCTGAGGCCCAGAACGCTGCCTATCTCATACTTGCGCACCAGCAGGCGCGCGGACGCGGAATCCGGCGGCTTGACGCTGCCGTCGGGCTGCTCGTCGCCGACCACGCGGTCCAGCACCATGAGGAGGGCCTCCTGGGCCGGGGCACGCGGTCGGTCGGGCCTGGGGGCCGGCGGGGGCGAGCGGGCGCGCGTGCAATCGCGGTCGGCATGAGACTAGGGGCAGGGCGTGGATCGGCCGGCAGGGCAGGGGGGATGGACGCTCGCCGCGGCGCTGGGCTGCGACTCGGCACCCCGGCTCTCGCTGCGCCGGCTAAACAGAAGCACCCCGCCCGGCGCGGCGGCCTCACGTGTCTGGCGACTCCACATGAATTACTCGCTCCTCAAAGTCCCCCAGCGGTTTGTCCACGCTCAGCTTGGAGCGCGAGAGGTCCTTGATCTTCGTGATAAACTCGCCGCCCTGCACAACACGCCGGTGGCGGTAAACTGAGGTATGCAAGCGCGTTGCGCCAGCACACGCGAGGCGCGTGCGCAGACGAGCCGCGGTGCATGCTGTCATGAAAGCTTTGGCATTCACAGGAACTGCTTCGGTGCCCAGTAGGCGGCCTGTACACGTCCCATCGCTCCTAAAAGAATGATCTGCACCTTGCCGATCACGGCCCCCGCCTTCTTGACAGGCACCAACAACCGGTAGTGCAGTAACGAAGGATGTGCCTTATTGTCGTGGTCCTGCGCACAAGTAGCATGCAGCGATGAGCGCGGGCGTGGACCGCGGACTAGCGCAGAGTGTGCGCGCCCCTGCTGCTCACGTTCGGGCCAGGGCCTTCTGGATGACCACGCTTGGTCCCCCGAGGATCCATAATAGTCTAGTTCAAGCACCTCCCCTGCGGCTAGATCGGTCTTTCTGACACTTCGCTTTTGTGTACGTGTGCGTGCCGGGGTGCTGATGCGGTGGAAGAGGCTCTGCCGAATACACACGCTGCCCTGACTATGAGTCGTGCCGCAACGCGTTCGCTGGACAAGCGCGCACGCACCAGCTGTTGAGCTGCTGAGCTACATTAGACCGATGATCCTGCGAGTGCGCCTAGGTTGCGCGGAGCGAATGCCCCTTCAAATGCCAAGAATTGCGCCAAGAAAAAGTGAGGTGTTATGCTGCCCGCAGAGGTTGGCTTTGCATGGGCTGATGCCAACCCAACGACCAGCTTTGACCGATCGAAGGAGCTTTGACCCACCAGGGAGAAATTGGGGCGACTCCATTGGTCTGACGAAGTCCTTGTGGCTGCATACTAGGGGTGCTGCATTGCTGAGAAGCCCGCTGATTACATAAACGGCCATGGCCTGCACATGCGCACCTCACTTACACGGGTCCACAGCAAGCAGTGTGCTGCCAGGCCGGCAACATCGACTAGGCACCGCCCTTGCACACGGTTCTAACCTGCAGGCCTTTGGGCTTCACAGACACCAGCCGCGCCGTCGGCGCTACCGCCAGCGCCGCGATCAGCTGCCGCCGCCCTGAGAAAGACACTGGCACGACCTCCGTAATGACCGTCACTGTGGGGGACTTCAAGTTGACGCGTACGCGCCCGCCGCTCGCGGCAATCATGGCGTTGGCGAGGATAGCGATTGCCTCGTTGCGCTGCAGGGGCACGCCCGACGGCTGCTGCTGCTGCTGCTTCTGCTGCTGGTCTGGCGTCGTGCTGTGAGGCTGCTCCGACTGCCCTGCCTCCTGCTGCTGCTGTATGTGCCCCGGCTGCGGTGGCTGCTCCGGCCCCTCTGCTGTTATGCTGGCGCCGCCCTGCTGCTGTGCTGTGGATGGGGGCGTCGCCGCCGGCTTGGGCTGCGCTGCTGCTGCCGAGCTGCCGCCTCCAGACTCCGGGCCCGCACCGCCCTCAAAGGCGCGGTTTTTGAATGCAACTGCAAGGTTGGGAGCAACAGCAAGTGTGTGTCAGCCCACACCTTGCCGCGCCGCTCTGTGATCGTTGAGCACACCAGCAGGCAGCGCTCGGAGCTTGTATCTCCACCAAACCTAAACAATGTATCACCAGGAGCAGGGCCGGCCACCCACCTGCAAAGTCAATCGCCGCACCCTCTGGCTCGTTGCCCTGCGCCAAGTACTCTCTGCAGACCGCCTCTGCTGCAGAGCGCAGCGCGCCTGCCTCAAGGGCGCACGTGCGTTGTGCGGGAATGATGCGCTGCACAAACCTGCGCGCACGTTGACCCACACAGACGGGAAAGAGGACAGGGGAGCTGCTTGAGCGCGCACGGCGCCATGCTTGGCTGTGGTTTGTGCGACTGCATCCGCACGGCGCGCGGTGGTCCAAAAGCTTCCGCCCGGATGCGAACTCTCGCCCTGTCCTCTGCCCTGCAAGGGCTGCGCCGAGCCGCAAGACCCAACCGACCTGGCATGCGGCGTGGCGCCTGACTCCACATCCGCCAGAATGGATGCCGCCACGTCGACCATGTTGATGAGCCCGCCTGCCGCAGCGTCCCGTTCGTGTTTGTGCTGCTGAGCATCGTCTGTCGCCTCCCCTGACTGCAACTGCTGGCGATCCTTCTTTTCGGGCTGCTTCTGCTCGCCCTCCTCGCCTTCAGTCTGCAACTGCTGCTGTTGCTGCTGCTCCTGCTGCTCCTGTTGCTGCTCCTGCTGCTCCTGTTGCTGCTCCTGCTGCTCCTGTTGCTGCCCGTGCTGCTCCTGTTGCTGCTCCTGCTGCTGTTGCGGCTGCTGCTCCTGCTGCTCCTGCTGCTCTTGCGGCTGCTGTTTCTGCTGCTCCTTTGCCTGCTGCTTCTGCTGCGCGTGCTGCACGAGTACCAACACAACGCCACGGCACCCGACCTTGACCAGGCTGCACACAGCGCCCGCGGCTAGTTTGCGCTTGATGAGTTCAACACCCTCTTTCGTGGCGCTCATCTGCCTGCGGTTGTTGTAGGGGCGCTGCGTTGCTGCGCATCCTGGGCCGGGGCTTGCATCGCCACTCACAAGCACCCGTACCTTTGCATGCTGCAGGTGATCACCAAGCCAACCGCGCCTCCGCCCAGCAGCGTGTCTGGCGCTGAGTAGTTGTAGCGCGCGACGCGCACGGCCGCCTCCTGCTCTGCAGCAGCGTCATCAGTGCGCTGTCGCTTAGCCGCCGGCACGCCACCGATGGCCGGGGCTGGCCGCCGCATTTGCGCCTCCGCTGCCGCCTTTAGCTGCTCTAGTCGGCTCCTATCATCCGTAAACTCGTTCATAGTGCTGCCCTACGGGGTTTCCAGATCGACGCTGGTGTACAGATAGTTTCGTCAGTCCTCAGTGGTCCTTGCCGCTGATGGGCGTGCATCGGTTGATATATTGTTGCGTGGGTTTGTGGGTGAAGCTCATTCCGCCTGCTGACTACGGTACGCTGTGATCAGAATGAAACGGTGCACTGCACCAAGCACTAGCAGTAAACGTGTCCGCAGTCCAAGCTGTCCGCTGCACGGAGCACGCTTGTGGCATCCTACCAGACTGGCGCATTGTTGGTGAATCAAAGCTTGACATGGGGCAGAGCCCGCCATGCGTAATACAAGCCCGTGTGTGTAAGCATTTGTGTGCATATGCCTATTGAAGAGTGTGTTGCATACGCACACACACACGCGCGCGCACACACACACACACACACACACACACACACACGCACGCACGCACGCACGCACGCACGCACGCACACACACACACACACACGCATGCGCGCACCCTCATGAATGTGCTCACACACACACACATACACACACAGACTCAAAGAAACACACCGGCCATGCCCTAGGGTTTTTCTTGTGCACGTGCAATGCAGCTTTGTTTCCTTCTGAAGCATTGTGTTCATGATTTTGGTCGGCACATTTCGCAACCTGCTGCTGCACACACGCCTGGCAGTTGAACAAACAGCCAGGTAGTATGCAGGCACCGTGGTGTGCCAATTGCACCCAATGTGAGTGCGCCATACACCTGCATCAATGCATGTAGTATAGATGGATGATACTAGAATTCATAGCTGCAAACAGTCAAGAGGCTGCGCCTTGTAATGCCACTTCCTTATCAACTCCAATCCGGCTCCTTTTCACTCCTTAGCCACAAAAATATTAGCAGGGAGGCCTCCTCCCCACAGTCTCCTTGCAGACTCCGCGGCCCGCAGATAAGGAGGATCTCAAGGAGTACTCAGAGTGTCCAAGGAAATCCCCTGTTCTTGCAGTGCCTGGTCGAAACACCTTGCCCACTAACGCTACTTTTGCGAGGATCTGCTTGAAACGTACGCACTTATAAAACACTGCTGCACTTGTGCTCTCTCAGGGCCCTGAGCGCTGAGTGGTCCGGCAATGCAGGCAGGTTGGAACGCAGTGGGGCTTTTCAAACCTTGCAAGCCCACCAAGCTAACTGTATGGTTGCATCTGCCGTCATGCCAGACGGCTGCACGCTTGCATCAGTGACACAGCCGTTGCTCATACTGAACGCACATCCTGCCACAAATCAAGCGCCCGACCTTTGATCAATGCTGATTGAATCGTTTCTAGAAGAACAATTCAAATATCTCTCAAGCGATGCCTGGATTGCTGCCTTTGGACACTGCAAGGATCCTTGGCGCTCACAACGTCACCCCTCTCACCCGCACCAGGCACCCTTTGGTCGCGACAGGGGGGCCTGGGATCAGGCATGATGGCGTGTACTTGGTGCGGCACCTGTATCCCCTGGCATCTGAGTCACCCTGGGGCTGATGCGGCGGCGGGGATTCATTGTTGCGCTCAAGGCAAGGTGGCCTGGCAAGGCAAGTGAGGCACACCCTCATTCGGATTCAGCACTCCGCTTCTCACTACCATTCTGTACAGAAGCTTAGCACAGCAGTGGCTGCTACCATCCTGTGCGATGCTGATTGGCAGATTAAGGGACGAGAGTCGTCCACTTGCCTAGCCTGGCTGCATCTGCCTGGGCTTGCGTGCAGAGCCGGCAGCTGGGTCCTGGCAGACGTGCAAACACGATGGCGCGAGTGGCACGCCATAGGGTTCGGCAGGATGCGAGCTTGTATAATCGTGTATATGTTGTGTGAATCATTCTTATAGCCGCTCTTCAAACTCCCCTCCATCCAGGCTTGTCCATGGCCAGTTGCTGACGGCATCCTCCGCGCGGGCAGGCACAGATACACCTGCGTCGCACACAACCTTTACCTAGTCACTCATATTAGCTGCATAACCCATCAGCAAGCGCTCATTGAGGCCTTGGCAAGGGGCACCTGCTGTGGGTGCAACCTGCGTGGGCCACTGGACAAGGTAGGGGCGCGAAAGTGGTCTTGACACGCATTTAATTTCAGCCATGAAGCACTAGGGATCGACCGTGCCCACTTGGAGGCCTCTCTAAGGGCAGCTCGCGCCTCGATGTGCAACTGCTCCACGCAGGCCCGTGCCCACTCTCTCTGAGTGTCTTCATAGTCTCAAAAATATGGTGAGGCCCGCGACGAAGCGGAGGCACGCCGGATTCAGAGCGCATCCTCTAGCTGGCACCGCAGGTGCCCTTGTGCGCGGCGCCCACCAGGGCTTGCGTGTGCCGAGCGCCCCCAGGCACTCGCTGGTGCCACCGCCGCGGATCCCTAGCTCGTCTGACCGCTTCCCCACATGCTTACGCACTGGCAGGCGGACGGGGACCACGAGCAGTGCTGGATATGCCTGGACGACGCCGCCGAAGACGGCAGCCGCCAGATGATCAGCCCCTGCAAGTGCCCCCGCAAGGTGCACCCCCAGTGCCTGGCGCGCTGGCAGCTGCAGCAGGCGGGGCGGCATGAGGAGAAGTTTTGCAGGTGGGCAACCTGCCTGCCTGGATCTTGGACACATGGATTGGGCTTGTCAATTGGGCTGCCGTGCGCGTTTGCAGTGGGCATGTGCAGTCCGGCTCTCAATGCGGTTGCCGCACAAGCACGAATGCATCCCTCACATGCGCCAGGTCGCCATTTATGCCTAAATGCACCATGCACTCACACTCTCCAAGCCTTGATGCATACTTGTGCACGATTTGGTGTTTAAGCTCGCTTAAATGCGCAAAGCAGCCGTCGCCCAACCAAAATGCACACAAGCATAAGCACACGAGCACGCACGCACACACACACGCACACACACACACACAAACACACACACATGCGCGCGTGCACATCCTCGCACACATATGTACACGTGCTCAAACATACACACACACACACACGCGCGCGCGCGCGCGCATGCACTGAAACGCTTGCCCGCACGCGCACATGTGCCGGAATCCCAGGTTCTGCAACAACACCCTAGACGACTGGAAGGCCAACCTGACCCCCAAAGACCTGGCCCCCGAGGTGTCCAAGGTGCAGCCCATCATGGTCGTCTACTTTGAGGGCCAAATCCACCGCATACCCGTGAAGCAGGGGCCCGACGGCCTGCAGGAGTTCCAGACGCAGATCCGCGAGCTGTTCAGGTGGGAGCGGCAGTGTGCGGGCGGGGCGGGTTTGATGGTGCGTGTGTGTGTGTGTGTGTGTGTGCGCGCGCGCACGCGCGTGTGCACGTGCGTGTGCACACGCACGCGCTCACACACACTACACACACGCTTTCAGGCGCACGCGAACACCACCCACATCTCCTTGCGCCGCCCCTAACTCCAAACCCCGCAGGCTGCCCGAGGACGTCGACATATCCCTGACCTTCGGCTGCAAGGAGCCCATGAGCGGCCAGCACCTCAAGCTCGAGGGCATCGGCGCCTTCGACGCCGCCGTGCACTGCGCCAGCGTCGCCGCCGCCGACAGGCAGCAGAAGGTCAAGCGCTCGCAGTCGGCGGGCGACCTCACGGGCCGCGCCGCCGCCGGCGCGCCGGGCGCGCCGGCCGCGCCCGGCGCGGCGGCGGCGGCACCGATGGGCCGCAGCGCGAGCAGCCAGGCG